CACACACACACACACACACACACACACACACACACACAGTACAGTAGCTTTGTGATTTAGCACTCTGCAAGAACTTATGAGAGGCAATTTCACATCTTTCAATCCCATCAAACAGCCTCCCTCAAACTTAATTACCGCTGCTATGGCTAAGACAATGAAACCTCAGTATGATGAAAACCACTGAGGAGTCACACAAATTAGACCTGATATGTGTGAGTGGGTGAGACACTGTGTGTATGCTGATTTCCCTCAAGGAAAGTAGTTGCACTTTATGACCGCTAGGTTTAGATAAGGTGGGATAAACCCACTTTAACTTTACGATTTGGGGGGTTACATATATTTTCTTTGTCTCACTTCTTCATACAGCATTCTGAGGCAAACCTACAGGAAAAAAAAGTTTTGAGTCCATCTGGGAACTACCGTAGCTGAGACTAAGCTTGGAGCTCTGGAGTAAAGATAAAGATTGTGTTATTTCTACAAGTTTCTTCACTAGCAGTACAACCTATGGCTCTCTGTGAACAAGGAAAAGTAAAAGTGTGAATGTTTCAGAAACTGGGGCATTAAGTGGAGTCCTAATTTCTTCACAGGGCTGTTTCAAGACTCAGCTTTGGGTCTAAAATTGGAACTGGGATAGGATGGGGTTAGACACAGCTGTTTAAATGCCAATGCACGATTCAGCCAGGCCAAATATGTTTGGTTTTGTGTCAGTGTAGGCAAAATCTCTACCGGCAACATTCTTAACAAATGCAGACCTTTTGATTATGGAAAGACAAAAGTGAAAATCAGGGTGTGTGGGGCTTAGTCAAACTGACTGCTGCTTCTCCATAAGTCAAGCTCTGTGCCTCCTAGGTGAGGAGTTTCAGACATCCTAGGGCAAACACAGGACATGCTGTTGAGATTATGCCTCACAGTGGGCTTGGACACCTCAGTATCCTATGGCAGAGGGTAGCTACTGCCGATTAATTGACCTTCCGCGAAAGTTTGGATGTTTCTGCCAGTCCTGAAGCCTTCAAAGATCTTTTTCAGGATCAAAGGATTTCTCTAGTTTTTGTCATAACCCCTATGGTTCTCAGACAGGTGGTGCCCTACATGTGACAGTTTGTCTCACCTGCCATCCTCACTTTATATAGCTTGTTGTTGCAGATCCAGGTTACTGAATCTTAGAACTAATATTTTCTACTGTTCAACACCACTTTGATTTAAAGCGCCCTCCATCAAGAATCTATGTCACAGAAGGCTCCAGTATGCGGCTAGTTTGATTTAGCCAGTTTGCCTGACCTGTCAGTTTTGTTGTACGAGCTTTAACCAAAAAAAAAAAAAAAATACGACTCTTTTTATACAGAGCTTTTAATGAAAACCAGTATTGTGTTAATTTATCTCTTATTTCCTTCAGATTTTCTTCATCGTTCTAAGCCAGTTTGTTCCTACAATAGAAGTAAATGCACAACAAATATTGTAATTTTTAGCAAATCCAGTTAACATAATAAATTTGTTGAGGTGTCTTTGTAGTGGCTGAGACACAGCGCCCATCAATGCACTGTGTGAGAGACATAAGACTTGCTTATATACTAATGCTAACTTTTGGTTTAGACTGAGTGGAAGGTCGTTGGTTGTTAAGGTTTGGGTTAAAGGCAAGTGAAAGCACAACTGTCCCTTCGAATGCAGTGTACACCTCTGTTTGTGTGAATGAGGCTGGCAGATGGAGGTGAAAACGCTTTAATTAACAGTATCTCTGTTGAATTATCTGAGTTAACAGAAGAATCCCATTGTCATGACATTCACTGATCACCTTTGATTCACTTCTAATCCCCTTTAAACCTCAACAAAAACACCCACACGCACACATGTGAGTTCTTCTCACGTACTGCCTCACCTCTGTCAATCCTCCTGATTGGACCAGGCTGATTCCTGCATTTTCATTTAAATACAAAAAGGGACCCGAACATAGTGCTTTAGGTGATTTATTGTTTTATCTCACTAAAAGCTCCCATAGACTTAGTCCAGATAAGCTCTACCTGAAGTGAAATATTTAGTCCAAGGTCAGTGACAGCAGCAATTTAACACAGCGTCAGTGGAGTATTTCACTTGGGGGACAATTTGTAATTTTTTGGCATGCATATTCCTGCAGAAGCTTGTGAACACTGAGCCATTAATTACGTCTGTCTCAGTTACTCTGAGCGATCATTTGCTTGCATTTCTCTGGAGATTTGCCTACTAAATCATAAGTTAAAGGAGGGTGGCAGAACAGTGAAGCAGACGCTGCAGCATCCTGACACCAACCGCAAGTGTCTCACACTGGTGTTAAGTCGATATTTGATGATACGGTTTCTCCACATGGCGTATGTGCCAGTACAGTAATTATGCCTCCGGAGACTTGGGAACATTTTGATTTAGTGCAGCATTTTAATTTTCAAGAGTCAAATTAATTTTGTGAAGGGTCTAAAAATGTGCCTCTACTTGCGCAAATGCTAACAACTGTATAGGTATGCACAGTGACGAGACACAAGAGGTGTAAATCAAACCTGTGTTGCGAGCTTGTTAAGGTTAAATTAAAATCTATCATCCAACAATGAGCTCACAGCAGGACGTGAAGGATTAAAAGATCTGTTCACATACCGAGGCTGTTATTAAGAGATTATTATGATATTACTTTTACAACTCAATAACATTTCAGCTGCACAAAAGGCAAAACCAGCAAAGGATCAAATAGTTTCCATCCTCTGATATCCGTTTTACCTTCTTACATCAGGTATCAACCGCTCTGCTTGTCGTTTCTTTATCTGGGTTGTAGTTAATTGCTCTGATAGCTAAAATTATTAACTCCACAGCCACCGCTGACCTCGATCCTAATTTCAGCATCACCAAGGAGGAGAGATCCCTTCCTGTCTTTGTCTGCAATCAGTGATAATTCCACATAAACTTCAGAGCGAGTCATCAAAACAAAACAGACCTACTTAGCCAATCCTCCCCGGAGCACATGTCAGCTTTATTTTCAACGGCGAAGATAATCACGGGCGTCGTCACTAAAGATCTTACAGAAGTCAGACACTAGAAAATAAAAAAATAATGACTTGGGAAATAAACACAGCACTGCTATTTTTGCTGTCATACCAAATAGAGACTTAGTGTGCTGGATATTTTGGGTAATTTGTAACAAATACAAAAAAAGTTATAACTTTGGCAATCCAAAAATTCGAAAGGAAGATAACCAATATTGCTTTAACCAGTTCTGTTAATAGGGGGCTTCATTTGCTCAGGCATAATGGATACATTTTGCCTATCAAATCATCAAATAATAGGAAATAGCTTGAATTCCTCTTTGAAAAAAAAAAACGTAAGATCATCTTTAGCAGCAATAACTTGCAGGGTTTGTCATCGTGGAGGAATTTTGGCCTACTCTTCTTTGCAATGTTGCTTTAGTTCATCGAGGTTTGTGGTCCCACGACGGCATTTAAGTCAGAGGAGTGGACTTTGAAACCCTAAGACACGCTGCCCTATTCTCTAGAGAGAATCGGTAACACTTTAGTCTTTTTCTAATTGTACTGTCATGAACTTAACAAGCTGACTGAAGCCTGTAGCATTGTCTTTCTATGATATTGTAAATCCTGAGTGTTACAACCTGACCCATAAGCTGCTACGCAAAAAAACTGACAACAGAGTTTATAAAAACCTTTAGTTATTTCAACTGATAAATATTAATAAAAGTTCAAATTTTTGGAAAGATGTTAATACTTCAGCCAGGAGAGTACAAAGTCTAGCAGAAAGTGGTTTGAGTCACAGCCACATTTAGCAGCTAATGTAAACCTCATAGCAGAAGAAGTCTATTTGAAAGCTTTTGTTTGGGAACTCTTAAGCATGCAGCTAAAATGTAATCCAAATCTAACTCAACTCTTAAGTGGCTTGCTGCCAACCTGGTGGATGCTGAAAGGGTAAGTCCATACAGAACCCACTGAAAGGGTAGCATGAGCTGCAAATGGGGAGTAAAACTGAATCCATTAACCTTACATCCATTAACCTGAGACACGCAGTGATTCTAAAGTGGCTGTAGGTATACGTGGATCTGTCGGTGCTAGCTCTGTGATACTTTCACAGGAAGTCTTACTTATACAGCGGCAACAGGCCAGTATTAGCTGGTAACACTGTCAGATAACATCGTCCATCATATGTTGATTAGACATCAGTGGGTAGAGAGACAGCAGTGTGCAGAAAGGCCCTGCTCATATGTCTGCTTAAACTGTCCTAGAATATATTTAATGGCACAGAAACAGCCAACCGTTTTAGAATAATGGGACAAATTACTTGTAGACTGTACGGTTAAGCATCTCAGTACACAGGTAGGCTGTGGAAACGCAGCACACTGTTTTTAATCATTTACTGTTCAGCAGCTTGGACATTTTTGATCTGCTCCTCCTCTAAATTACAGAGAGAAGACGAGCAGGGACACAAAGTTTAAATACAATCTTGCTGACATGTCATCATCCTAATGACTTAATCAGAATCAGAATCAGAATGCTTCAATAATCCCTAAGGAAATTATGTGGGTTACAGTTGCTCCAAGACAATAACGGTGACAGACTGAACTAATTAAACAATACAGTATATTACAAAGTTTAGAATATATGAGAAATAGCTGTAATATACAAATAGCTCAATTACAAATATCGAGAATATTACAGAGATGAAAAGTATATGATTGACTGAACAACCTGGACTAGCAGCCAACTTGAAGCGTTAATTTGGCGAATGTTTCTATTTGCCTTAACAACTAAATGCTTTAACAAACACTCTCCTTTAAGGCACCCGCACACTGCATGATCCAGGGAATCTTAAAAGTTCACTGCATGACACTATGCAACATGGATGTATTAAACTCAGGCAGGACAACAAGTTTGATGACATTATTTCCCTACAGAATCAGGGACTGGTCTGCAGTTTCTCTCCATGCTACCATCACTCTTACATCCTAGACCAGACCTCTTACGACACGTAGCTGAACCATTTTACCTGTGGTTCACTGTTTGAGATCAAGACACAAAGGAACCATCCTCCTATAGAGACAGCCCAGCATGGCTAAATGACATCCTCACCCAATTTAAAGCGAGCCTCCTGTTAGGATCCCTGGGTCTGTTCCCAGTGTTTGTGTTTTTTTGGACTTTTGCATGTTGTATTTTGTTTTGAGAAGTGAGCTATGTTTCTAGTTCGTAGTCTTTTGTTAATTTAGTCAGTTCCCTTTCATGTCCTAGTCTCACCTGTGTATGTCCTTCGTAGGGTCCCCGGTGGGCATTCGATCTCTGTGTCTCTACCATATGACTGTGTCAGTATCTCAGTGTTTGTGATTTCCTGTCTTATTTTGATAGTCATTGTCTCATGTGCAGTCTTGCTTCCCTTTCTTCATTATGTCTATTTTGCTCCAGCTGTGTTCTCATGTGTCTCCACTTCTTCTAATCACCCTCCTGTGTATATGCAGTATCTCCCTTTGTGCTTTGTCATGTTATGGTCCATTTATGCTACTGTTCTGTTTCCCAGGCTTAGTTTTTGAGTGTTTCTTTGCCCGAGTTAGTTTAAGCAGCTTGCATTTAGTTTCCCGTTTGGTTTTGTATTTTTGCTCATGTCTTGTTTACTTATCAGCTCATTAAAGAGCTCGCCTTTAGTTAAACTGCCTCCATGCCTGCAATTTTGGGTCCTCCTTCACCACACCCTAACCCTTGATACCCTGTGAAAAAGTTCAGTTCCACCTTGCACTTGGTTGAAATGTATACAAGCACAGAATACAACCTGTTTAGGTTTCACTTCCCTACTTCAAGGAAATACCTGGCTTTAGTTGCTAATTGCTCTCCTATGTTCATCATCAGTTCTTGTACGAGCATTCAATTAAAAAAAAAAAAAAATCAAGCTGAAAGCCCTAAAACGGTGAGATCCCCTATTATTTGACCCATTAATATAAAAATATCATTTTTGAAATCTATGAATGTTAAATTAAGGCTCAGGCTCAGGTTGGACCGCTTGATGAACATCTACTCGTCATAATTTAATCTATAAAGTGACTATCCATATAGAAAGGAATACATTTATTGAATTTCTTCACACGGACTTTGTTCCCTGTTTTAATTTGAATCTATCTTTGATTACAGGCACAAAATCTTTGCGAGCTGTCTATAAAAAGAGACATCAGCTCACTTAAAACGACAGGATTTTCGGCCACTTCGCCTCCGTCCACCTTCTGTTGACTCATTTTTGGATGAGCAGGTGAGGGTTCACACTCACTTTGACGGTGCTCTCTGCAGTGTTAAGTGACGACTGCAGCTTGTAGGACCTCTCCCGGTTTTCCCGAGCCTCGTCCGACACCCTGGCCAGCTCGGCCCTCAGTTTTCCGAGGGTTTTCTGCAGCGCCGCCTCCTGAGTCTGAAACTCCCGTCGCAGCTCGGCCTCAGTGCGTTTCCATGCCAAGAGGTTGTCGGCGGTAAGCTGCTGGGTTCTCTTCATGGCCTCCAGCTCGCGCTCATAAAAGGCCTGAGCCTGGGGACAAACGCAGACTTGTGAAAGTGTTCACCACTGCGGAAAAGATTTAAGCCAAAAACATGAAGGGTGTAAAACTAATTAATAAGCCTCAGTTTTCTCTTTTTAATGACAATGTGAATTTTATATCGAAAGGTCCAAAAACATTTAGAGCTGGAGCCAAAATTACTTTCCTGACAGTGTTTACTGCCGACGAGGATGCTTTTTTTTATTGAATTACTAGCATCTAAATGCAGTCCTTAAGTGCTGCTATGGCTTTTCCTGTACACAGATCTGCAGATAACAACCTTCACTTTCAGCAGCGTCAACACTATAGTGCCAGCAAATTAAATTTTCAGGCCTTTTTTTAACTATTACTAATCCAAGGACATTTAGCACAGCCTGGAGTGAATCGATTCTGGAAATGCCAGATGAGACACTGTGTGTGCAAACCTTTTCTGCTTGAATCCTCTTGAATCCTTATTTTATTTAGGCTTATTTTTAAAAGATCGCACCTTTCAGTCTGGACTCAGTATTAGGTTTTTTGGGTTGGCTCTAGACAGAATTAGACTGTAGCAGTAGTGAGAGCAGGGAAGGAGAGTACACCCACGCTTTCCTGAAAACATTAATAAATAGAGTAAATAACAATGGACTTAAGAGTCTTAGAACATAGTGGTACCAGTTCTCCATCTACTGCAGGTTCTGGATAGAGTTGGCCCACTAACTTGGATCTCCAAAGTAAAACAAACACTACTGTATATTGTCCCTAGCAGCAGTTAAAGGGTTTGGAGGAGCGATACGAAGTGACTGAATGGCATCAAGGACATGTGAACAGTTTGGGAAGGGCAGACAATCACAACGAGAGCAAGAGAACTGGAAGTAGAAGGAAAACAAAACACACGGGTGGGGGGGGGGACTAACACAGAAGGCATCTCAATAAAATACCCATATAATGCCCAATAAATGATTTATTAACTCATATTTGCTTACCAGTTTGTTTACCAATTATTAATGATGGTTATTATATTTAATGTACTGTACCTTGCTGAGTTTGGCCTCGTATTCCTCCACCAGTCTCTTCTTGTCCTGTTTCAGCTCCTCCACCCGCTCTGTCAGAGAATCAACCTGAACGTCCAACATGGAGACACAAAGAAACGGCACATTTCGAATTAAGTAGAGTCAGTTTATTTAAAAAAAAAAAAAAGCAACCAGAAGTCTCTGATGCTTTTGCTGTAGAGAGACGATTATAAATTACATTATAAAATGCATGTAGTCTATACTAGCGTTAAAATGTTGTATAAGGAAAGGCAAGGTAGAACAAAGAGTTGGAAACTTGGTAATTATCGCTGTCCCACTTTCTTTCTTCTTCCCTGTAGTGGTTTAGAGTTTGATGCTTTGGCTTTCAAGAGCTGCTCTACTTTTGCAGAAGCGAGTGTGTTACCTCGGCTTTATGGAGCTGTACCAGTTTCTCCTGGTCTTTGCTGTAGTTTGCGTTCTGGCTCTGGTGGCTGCGAAGAAGCTCCTGGATTTCCTGTCTGTGCTCAGCCTTGAGCTCTTCCAGCGCGGCCCTCTTCTCCTGCTCGAACTGGGCCTGTGCCTGGCTGAATGTACGCAGCTTCTCCTCAAAGGACCGTCGCATCTCCTCCACCTCCCTTGACATGGACACCACACGCTGCGTGTGCTGCCAAAGAAGACGGGAATGAAAGGCTGAGCCAACAGGGGAATTGATTTATGGGTTTTGTAGGCTTCTTACAGAGCGCGTGACTTTTCAAAAGGTCTAAGCCAGGTGGTGGTGTACTGGCTTGGGGGATTTTGACCTTCTGGCTGCCGACCTGGCTGCTCTAAATTAGCAGTAAAAAGCAGCAGACTAAACAGAAACAAAGTGTGTGAGCAGAAAATGCTCTGAAGGTCATTGTTCAAAAATTACAAGAAAAATGTCATCTAGTATTGACATAGGAAGTTATCATTCTGACAATGCCTCAATCCATTGATATTATATGTTATATTGATTAGCAGAAAAGTGGTCTCTAAGGTACCTGATCAGAAAAACACTAAACATTTTACGATAAAATCTTTAAGGCACATAACAACCATCTGTCAGGGGAAGATTTACTAATACGTTTTCATACCTTTCATTTAATTTGACTGCATTTCATTCTCTAAAGTAGATAATTACACAATCAGCACCAACTAACTATTAGCCATAAATTTTCTAGTCTCAAAGGGTACAGAAGTGGCATATCAACCGAGATAAAAGTAGGAGACACCCATGACTGACAGCTTAGACAGTTATCAGGGAAAAAAACACTCAGGGATAATAACACAAGCACAAACACATCTGCATATTTGCCATCAGTACGGTGGCTCATTCTGCTGCACTGTGGCCTCACAGCAAGTGGGTTCCTGGTTCAAATCATTCCTCCAGGAGACCTGGCTTCTCCTGCCGCCAAAACATGCTAGGATAATGCTCCCCTCGCTGTGCCCTTGACCAGAATAAGGCCTTACAGGTGCCCACCGCTGCTAATAATGAATATGGGTTAATATGTGGAGACTACAGCCTTTGGGTGTTTGCATTTTATTTCTTTGAGCGTCACTCTAAATCAGGGATGTCATTTTATTTAATGGGCTAGATCAGTAAAACCACTGCATAATAACATGTGGTGAAATATCCATTTCCAAAACACATGATGAACATCCTCAGATCATTTTAACAGTATGTCTTATTGCATATGTGCTGTAAATAAGTGAATCTAGAAAAGGCAAAAGTAACTTTAACTTTGTTCTGGAGGTAGTTCAATGCCTGTTTTGGGTTGTTGTGTTGGAAAAGTGATGACCCAGACCTGTTTTACTGCCTTTTAAAAACCTGACATATCCTTCTTTATTCACAAGTCCATCCATCTTGACGAGATTCCCAGATCCAGATGTAGCGAAGCTTCCCCACGGCATGATACTCCCGACACACTATTCTAACTCTAACCCTCATTAGCCACTGGTCTGGAGTCTTTAAACATATCAGTAGTTTTCTTTCCTTCCAGGCTTGTTCTATATTTGTGTTTCTCTGATTCTGTGGATGATACTTCTCAATCCTCTTTTTGTCTGTACAAGTATCAGTCCATTTACCAAACAGTCCAGATGTGTTGTGAGATGATGTATATTGTACTGATAACTGTCCGTACAAGTGTCTTACTTTTCAAAGCCATGCAGTGGGCTTTGGTGGCCTGGTTCAGGCCCCAGGCTGCTTTGTTTGACATCCCTGCTCTAAATCATAAATTCCTGCATTTAGTCAATTTTTCTTTATTCCTGCCTTTGCATCTTTTTATCAGAGAGCTGCACACACTCCATAAATCTATATAATGATGTTCATTTGGTCAGCTATTGTTAGAGATTAGTTACACGCTTCACTGTCCTCCCAGGTCATATACAAGCAAATACATGGGGATGATTTCATACACACTGGCTTGCTCATAAACTTATAAACAACAAAGCAGAGGCAATTTACAGCATAGCAATAAGAGAGGTACTCCTCTCCTACTTACACGAGGTGCGGAAAAAAAAAACAAATTTAAATTATATCTCTTTATGTGTCTTAGCAGGACTGGATTGTTATTGCATATCGAAGAAACTAGATGTGATTGCATCCGAGAGGCAGCCAGATCCAGCTGTTCAATACATCCTGCATTTGACTTGCAATCCAGGCAGATGTGAAGAAGATGAGTGCATGTATCTCTCTAAGACTTCAATGCAATGTTCACTTCTCCCAGCTGTTATTGTGTCAAACAGTCTGTGGTCTGTCTACTGTTACTGTAATCCTAACAGGCAGATCTACTTTGGAATAGTACCAGAATAACACCAGTTGTTCCTCGAGTTTAATTAACAGAACAGACATTGCCAGCTTCTGAATCTGAAAATGAAGGACTATAGAAAAGGTGCACTGAGTGCTTACAGCATGTCTGTGATCTCTGGTCATTGTAATCATCTGTTTTGATATTTATATTTTAGTTGCAAGCCTCTATTTAAGGCTGTGTCCAAAAAAGTTGGCACTAATACGTCTGTATTTTTACTCAAATAACTGTATATAAAAGATGGATGCACCGTGCACCCACTGTGGCATCACCCACTGGTTAGTGAGGTCCTGCTGAATCGTTTTGCTCTCACCATCTTGGTGTTTTAAAATGGGAGATATTAGGCAGGGTTTTGATAACTGAGAAATATTGTATATACCTGAGCTGCAGCAAACCCTACCCTCCTTTTTCACTGTGATGAGGATCCTAATTTACAAAATGAACTTCATGTTTTATTCATCTAACGAGACCATAAACTCATGTCGTAGATCGAGTAAGCCGAGGGCTTTTTTTCCATCAACTCAACTTGTGCCCATTGCACGACATTACAAAGAATGCTGGTTCTGGACACTAAGCTACATCTAAGAGTAGTTTTATTTTGTAGTATTGCTACCTTCACTAAAGTAAAGAATCTAAATCCTTCCTCTGCTGCTTTCCATGTATTTTCGTATATTAAGGCTTAAGGCAATCGACAAGAACCTGAAAATTGTGCCTCCCATTTCCTAGGCTAATATTCAAAGCTGCATTTTCTGATTTCCCCCATGCGCTTCGCTCTGATGGGTTCTTGGCCTTTCCTGTGGCAACACATGCAAAGGTTAGACCAAGCCAAGTTCTCTCTTTTATGTCTCTCCCTCTCTCTGATCCAACTTTTCCTTTGTCTCACCATGAGCACAACTCCTCTTTTAACTAGATGACCCAGGCCTCCTTGTTTCCTGTTTCTCTGCAAGGCCCTGCTCACATCTTAGTAAAATCAAAAATGGAGTTATAGTGGGCCAAATCATTCTCAATAAATCATCATCTCACATTCTTATGGGGGAGTTTCTTCTGGTTGACTTGTTTTAAAGAAACCTACTAAAATGTGCAAGAAAATCTGTTAAGTGATGGCATGACGTTGGTGTTTCCAGGTAAACGGAGCTCATTCTAGTCATCATGTAGCTGGATTAACTCGTGGATATACGTGACTAAATTTAAAAATGTATTGAATAATATCTGGACTCTATTTACAGACTCCTTGAAAAAAGAAATGAAAATGAGGCCTGAATGAACCCTGACCGCTCACAGCAATCTGAGGCAGTTGATGCAGACAAAGAGAGACTCTCCACTTCACAGCAGGACAGAGAAACAGACTTAATAGCGATTACCTGCAGCTGTGAGTGCAGACACAGGTGCCTCTTGCCTCCAGCACACACAGACATCACATCACTCCTCCATTTACCTGAGCCTCAGTGCAGAGCTGCATGTCTTCCACCCTCTGACGGTAGCTCTCGAACTCGGCCAGGGCCTGCCTCTTCATCCTCTCGTGGAGTTCCATTGACTCCTCCAGAGACTGGATCCGCTTCTTCAGGTCCATCTCATCGCTGATCTTGCTCTTGTACTGTGACAAACATTTAAAGTTCAGTGAAGTGCTCGCTATCATCCAAATCTAGCATTTTAATGACAGCATGTGCGGAGATGCTTACTCTGTAATTGACAAGGCACAATATGTCGTGCACTTCATAGCCTCCAAAACTTGATCATTTTGAGATATTATGGGACATAAATTGCATACAAACACCGGTAAATAACCATCCTGGATTTCAGCTTTAATTAAAATTACTTTAAAAGATTGGCTGATGCGCACAGAATTTAAATTAGGCTTTGATTTTCCTCATTATGACAACAAATGAAAGTGAAAATTAAAAGATTAAATAGGTACATCCAATTCGGCTAAATTAATTAAATTTGCATTCAAAGCACACCAGTAAACACTGCCTCCAGGGAAACTTAATAGAGAAGCAGAGTGAGGCGATGTCTGCGTATTCAAGTTTAGCTGATCGAGGTTGGTCACATTACTCACAGAGAAGCATCGTCATTGAGGCATTGTCATCAAGAGTAATGACGTGACATATAGGCCTAAATAATTAATATTCACGTGATTCATAATTGATGACTTCATTTCAAATGTGGTCTGAGCTCACCGGTGATCACAGTGCAGCGCTCCTGATGTATTTTAGCTACATCATCAGCTGTATGTGATTTTATAATGATGTCTGTTTTCTGTTGAAATCTATTATAAAGTTGACTTTAGTTCCTCTTCAGCCTTTTGTCCACCTATTATTATTACTGTTGTTATTGTTATTATATTTATTATATCATTGCGTCTAATTTTATTACGCTTTATTTCATTTTTAATTGCTGTAACAAAGGACTTTCCCACCTTTTATGATAAATAAAGTAGATGTTATCTTAATCTTATCTTTTAGGTCAAAATGAACAGAGGCCTATGAGAACAGCTTCTCTTTACACCTGCGATACATTTCTATTATCGAAATTTCGAAAATAGGCTTTGCTTACATAATATTCATCCTCCTCCTTTTATATTACCACTAAAGAGTCAGATGTAGACGTTTAGATTCAGTACGACTTCGCCCTGGGTTGCATTACATTATATCAGCACATGCAGACATCTTTGTTCTCCTGGATACTGAGTGCTTGCTACAATACATGTCTCAGCAGTGGTCCTGAGACTCCTGAAACGCCTTTCTGCATGGATGAACCTGGTCTAACGAGATTCCCACAACGCCGTCTTCTCTCTTTTATTTTATCTGCATTCCTCAAGTCTGCATGTTACTAAAAAGCCAAACACTGTGTTAGATCCCAGTTACCCCTGTACAGGAGGTCTGGATTGGGGTCTGAGTCTGAGTTTCTGATCCTATGAGTATACTATGAGTATACAACAGTGGGTTATTCAGAAACCATTGGCAAGGAGACTCCTAGATCTAAAAGCCTGATATCTTGTAAGCTTCTACTTGATTCATAATATGAACTTAATATGAATGGACAACACTGTAACAGCAGTTTGGCTCTTAAACCACTTCCTTGTATTGTGGACATGTCATGAAAACAGCACGAAATATTGTTGGCACAGAAACAACATCTCTAGATCACTGGCTGTGTGAAGAGGACCAAGCAAATCATCAAAGACATTGCAGACCCTGGACACAATTTGTTTAAGCTCCTACCATCAGGCAGACATTTTCAAACAATCCACAAACAAACGGATTGAACTGCAGCTTTTACTAAAGCCCCAACTCAAACATCTCCTCTGTCTGAAAACTAAATGTATGTACACCTTTACTACTACTACATGTACTATACTTACATCCTCACTAACTGTCCAATTATAGACCTGATTGTTCAGCATTATATATTTCTTATCTCACAACTTGGGAGTAATTTTGAATTGAATAATTGAATTTTAGTGTAATGGTCACTGAGATACTGGATGAAAGGAATAATCATTCAAATCCATTGAAAAGTGCTCAAAAAAACTCCAAGAAAAGCTTTAAAAAGATTTTCCCCCATAAAGCTGTACTTCTGCTATGCATACGTACATATCGTGACTTTTGAAATGGTTGTGAAACTCAAATGTGGGCATGCATCTGTGCAATGACATGATTGATTTAACCATTTCCTGTTTCAAATGTTGTATGGCTCTTTGGGGATGAGATCGCCATCTTTAGCGTCTCATAATTCTCTAAAACCAAGTACACCCTCACTGCTTCCATAGGAATTAAGTGGGTAAGTAGCAGCCAGGAGATGCTAATCAAATGCTTGATTAATTAATCATCAACAAGTGTGAGCACCTCTGTAACACCACTAATCAGAGAAATTGCAAAAAAAAAAACCCAAAAAACCCCCAAGAGCTACATCTCAGACTCCAAATCTGACATATAGCTCTACATCTCAATTAACATTTATCATGCTAACTGAGGCCTGTGCTTCTTTCAGATGCTCCCTTATTAGCAACACATTTCCACAGAAGAGGGATCCGCATATTTGATTTAACACAAATTTTTATGCTTGATGCCCTTTGTGACACAACTCTAAATCATTTGCCAGGGATCTCTTGCACATTAGGTCAATGTGTTAACCACTACACAAAGATGAATATGCATGATTAGTTTGGAAGGGCTGCCAGGAGAAAGTCTGTTCTGTATAAAAGGAATATGGGACCATGCCTAGATGTGCACAGTTCTAAAGAACCTAATAAATTTAAAGTAAGACAGACACACACACAAACCTGGAGTATCTTCTCCCTGGTCTCAGAAAGAATCTGCTGCACCTCCTCTTCATGAGCCTCCTTCAGAGTAGCGATGGCTGCCTCGTGTTCATCATTTTTCGTGTTCAGTGCATAGATAACCTGCAACAGAGGGAAGAAACACATTAGATAATGTACAGGATCATAAGAAAGATTTAATACAATATTGATATGGTTTTTGTTTTGTTTTTTTACACCTGACTAGACAATTAACAGCAATATTCAGCTAACATGCTAGGACTGCTATGCTGGGCATATTGTGTTAAAATATTAATACGGGAGCTAGCAGCAGAACATCAAAGCATGAGGATAAAGTAAAGAAACATGAGAGCGGAATAATAAATCTGTAAGATGAAAAGGAAAGGTGATATTGATGTTTTGAGGATGAAGCTCCCAACGCGGTTCAAGGACAGAAAGAACTTCTCATACAATATTTTTACAATCAAGACCAATGAAGTCTTTATGAAGAACAGCTGGTACTTAGTGCAAACTTGGTGTTATAGACAAGGTGTTTGAAGCATCCACTATAATGTTCAACCATCACCCTAAATCAATGAAAAGAAAATTTTTCACAATTTTGAGAAGTCGAGTTTGATGAGGAGTCCTCACGGGGTTTGTCCTTAAATGCCTTTTTGCCTTTTAACCAAAGAAAAAAAAATCACCAGGACTGTGATAAAAATATGCGTGCTTAATTTTCCAAAGCTGGCAAATACTTCACGTTTATAAGATGGCCAAACCCTCGCCAGTTACTCTCCGAGTGACGCAAACCGAACTCTATTCTAACTACTATTCAGCTGCAAAATAAAAGATTCACCTTAATGCTGCAATCAACACATTTGAAAGGACAAAATATTTGCTTTGAAGGCGAGCATTCTCCACTTCCTGTTTGCACTGTAAACACACACGTTGCACTTGTTATAGTTTCACTGGTGTTTAATGAGTAGTTGATAAGTGTTTGCAGACATGCCGGGGGCTTCCATGTAAACTACAACCATGACGATCTGCTAACAAATAAAGCATTCACGAGGAGATTTTGTTGCAGCACTATATATTTCATTGCAACCTCCAGCAACAAGTTGAAACCAGAAACCGGTTGCAGACTGGTCTCAAGACCTGTGAACCCTAAAGACCTAATGTGAGCCACAACAGTTATAGTGTCATGTTCAGGCCATTATAAAATACACTTTAAAAAACAAAAAACAAAAAGCAAATTCAAGATTATCTGCCATACTACCAATATTTGTTGTGGTTTACTGAAACGATTAATGGTGAGACAATTTGCTGAATTTTTGCTGGTTTGCTGGAAGTTTTTCTGGGAACGCAGACCAGACTGACCAGACATGATGAAGAACTTAATAAGAACTTAATGCAATTCTAACTTCATATTTTGGCCTCAGTTTGATAGTCCTGCTGTAGCATAAATATTTCTAATGCTACTGACATACAATTAGTAGAGATGAACTGTGGTACTGTATATAGCTGCTATAAAGCTGCTAAAACCTCCTATTCCATTGCTTAATGTTTCTAATAACTCAGAAGTATCAGTGATCTCTTAAGGATAAGCTATGAATTTCACATAGCCTTACTTACTTAAATAGTAGATATTAATGTTTCATATATAACTGACAGTAAATCTTGCAAGTCTTCACCTTTACAAGAGAAACATCAACATACTATGGATTTTTTTGCTATATCTTCTCCATATCTGATGCCTTGCAGTGATGAATTAGAAATTGGTTGACGCTGTGTATTGCTGGGGATAAAAATAACACAAGCAAACTGTTGTGCATGAGATTGACCTTTAAATCTGTCCAAAAATACATGCGGCCATCCAATAATTTGACAGTGCTGTGATCCTCTGCTCAGAGCAGAATGAGAGGGAGAGGACAGAAATGGGTTCCATGGGTTTCCACATGAAAAACCGTGAGACACCCGTCCTCTGCTTCTCTCCCTGCCGTGAGAAACAAAGCTCTGCGTTGCCTCTTTGAAAAACCAAGTCAATAATTCAGCACATTGAACTGAGTTTGGGTGCTAAAGAGCCTTTGTTTACTTGGGCCAAAGTCCATCAATAGAATTGGAAAAGAGTGCAGAGGAAAAAATTAGAGGAAGAAAAGGAGGAAAAAGCTTTCACTGAAACTAGACACCCACTTTTTATTCTTTGCCATGCCTTACTGGGAGAAGAAATGTAGTGCATGTAGCTTGACAAGTGCTGATGTCTTTGAGATTTTCATTGTTTATTCCCCACACACTCACCCTGTTTTTGCTGACAGCTGCAGAGCTGCGCAATGAGAGAAATAAGTCACTTTATAATCAAAGACATACTCAGGCGTGGGATGAAGCCTCTCATTTGATTTTGTAAACCACTGAAGTTGAACAGGACTGTCCAGCTTTCGTTTGGCCAAAAATCCAACTTTATCACCTCGTTTTGACTCAAATTATTGTTGTACAAGATTGGTTGTGTTGTTCTCTTTTGATTTTCAGTGTAAAGGTATTAATTTAGGAACACTTCACATTGCAGCTAAAGCTTGAATATTAAGGTCCTTTTATTTAATTAAACTGTTAATAAGTGTGCAATGAAACATTCGATTAACTTGTTTATATTTTAGATAACCTCAGCTGCAAATAAGCCTAGTTCATGTCTAATTAAAAACAAGAAAAAAGTGTTCATTAATTCTATAAAGCAACGAATAATAGTAATAAAAGTTTAACTGTGGAAAAAGAGCCATTAATGTGAAGTTACATTAGTGTATGAGGTTTATTTACATTATAAGAAACTCTAATAAGCCTCTTAAACAGTTGTGTTGGTAAATGCTTAATCTAATGTTTATAATACTATTATTACTGTTTATACAACCTTATTAGCACATAGTATATCTTAATACATGCAATAGATATGAACTAATATTTATTACATGGATTTTGACATCATGCATTACCATTTACTGTCCTGGCAATAATAAGATGCCAATAAGACATTATGCTAATGATCCTGTAAAACTGCTCTATGGCTGTGCAATTAACTAAAATTTTGTTTCAATTTCTATTTTGGTTTCTACCAGTTACTAAAATGAGATTATCAAAATCACACAGTTACTATGTCAGATTCTGTTTTAAAATAATCATCTTGTTTTGCTTCCAGTACATCACTTTTCTGTACATTTGATCGGACACATTTATTCACTTCAATTATCGTAAGAGTTCATAGAAATCCACTTAAATAAAAATGGAAAATAAAAGTGCCTTAAATCATCAGTACTGAAAAAGTAATTATGATTTTGGCCATAATCAAGCAGCCACAGACTGGTTTTAGGTTCAATTTCAAGAAGAAGAAGAGCTTTCCCTCCTCTTTAACGTCTCTCTCCCCTGCAGGTTGTAGCAGCTTTAGCTCATCTCAAACCAAAAAGAGGTAACTTTAATAAAACTGACCCAGGTCTGTGGAAAAACTCATTTTAAGTAGGAGTTCAAGAAGGTGACAAATAAGTACTATCTTTGCTAAACTTTTATGATTGCCATGGTCTAGCAGGCCATGTGTGTTTAGTAGCTGACTTAAAGGAAGTGATGTGTGTGAGGTTTTGGTCTGTCTTTAGTCTTTAATAGGATTTACATTTAATGGAAATCCAGCTACAGCTAGACTTAGACTTTAAAAAAATGCCAGTATAGATAATTCATAGTGGTGTCAGAGAACAGGCCAGGAGATCACTAAAGTCAGCAGAACTGGTCCCCTGATGCTCATGAATGTTTATCCAAAATTTATAGCTGTTGACATATTTAAGTATTTCAAGCTGTTACAGCCATATGACCATGTTCCTCCCCCTTGTTGTCCACTCTTTCTTGTAGGCCAATTAGTGCCTACTGTGTACTTGTTCTTCATCCCAGCTTCCTCTGCTTCTTGGGCAGGTGTCCCAGTTCAAGGCTCTAACACTAATTACAGCGGCTGACTCAAAAGAGCTGCCAGTTTGTCATTTGAGATAGCAGTGATTTAAAGTGAGGAGTCTGCCCCGTGTCTCCTTGTTTGTAGCGTTGTTGTTTGGTAATCTGGTTAACACTGAATGTACCTTAGAGGGTTTTGTGTTCTGCTTCAGATCTATGTGCTTGCTTTATAGTGCTTTAACTCTGTAACCGGAGACACTTATCTGAGTGTGGAGACTGTTTTATCTGTTTACAGTTAGAATTTCTAACTTTTTTGTTCATTTTTGTCTCCTGTGCTGTTTTATTTCAATTTACCCATTAATAGAATAGAATAGAATAGAATAGAATAGCTCTTTACTGTCACTGTTACAAGAACAATGAAAGGCAATTTCCCTGACCTCCACACATCTCTCCATGTGTGTGAAATAAACAATAGCGTTAGTATTTACAAAATAACACAGACAAATTTACATTTACACAAGAAAGATATACATGGACCGTAGAGCTGGGCGATATGAGATTTTTTCATATCACGATATGTTTTTTTCATTTCAGGCGATAACGATATTATCACGATATAAGCCAAATAACTATATTTGTAAGATTTAAATGTGCCGTTGCTCACAAGTAAAATGTGAAATAATCAGCAGCTTGTTTTGATTTAAATATTTATTTCCCATAATAAGTTCAACAGGGTAGATGTACTTAAGGAACATGAGACTTTTTCAGATAAATAAAGGCAAATATTGCAAACTACACAAAAGGCAGCCCTAAAGCGTTTAAGTTTCAAAATAGAACAAACGAAACAGACTAAATTGTCAATTCCACTTAGAAACAAAATATTAATTCTAAAAATAAATCTTAGTTTGTTTTACAGAAGAACAGACAAAACTGACTAACTTTTGTCAATATCAAATAAACTGAGAACTAAAAGGAAATTCTCAATCTCTCCTTGTTGTATAGCTTAGCTTTTCAAACAGTTTTAACAGTTACTTTAGTCTGACAAAAGCCGAATGACGAATTAGCGCTTCCAGTCAGAGACTGAGGCTACGTCCACACGTACACGGGTATTTTTGAAAACGGAGATTTTCCGTTTTCGTTTTAAAAAATAATCCCGTCCACACATAAAGGCAGAAATGAAGGAAAACGCTGCTATGAACATGCCAAAGCAGCAGGTGGCGCTAGATTCCTAA